CAAGGTGAGAATCTCATCAAATTCTATACCATTAAAGAAAGAAAAGAAGTCTAGAAGGTAATCTACACTATTTTCTATGTATATTGACGTGTATTCTTATATGCAAGACACTTATATTTATGTGTATGTTTTTTTGAGATAAATATTTATGTGCCTGTACATATTATTATTTCTAGAGACATTCACTGACACACTTCTGTTTTTGAGAAGAAGGAAGTATTAGAAACAAGTTACATGTGGTGTGCACCAATATACCAACACACTTGATGACTGCAGGCATTTACGGATGTTCGTGTGCTTGCAAGAAAATGTGCATGTTCATGCATCTGTCTACCATTTTAAGTAGTTCTCTTTTTTCTTTCTTGTCAGAGGACAAGTTCTCTTGTCATGAGTTTCTTTTTTAACTGACAAATTTGTTGAAAATAAAATATATGGATACAACTATCCAATTTTTTTTTACAAATGGCTTTCTGCAAGTCAATTAGGTTTTTGACAGAAGTTCACTGGCAATGGTGGTTGATGTATCTGGATTTACTGCATTACCTTTACCCTGAATTATGTGGTTTGCAGTACTCAATTATTGCAACATTAGCTGGAAGAATTGGTTTTAATTTCTTCAGCTTATTCAGTTAAATTTATCAGTTTGCTTCATAGTTTAGAAACTGGTTTTTCAGTTTGGTTGGTTTGAAAATCTTAATCAAATTTATTTCAAAAAGATGTGCTCATTAGTGCACTGATCCATGCACGACTGCCTGCCTCTGGCATCTTATATTCCTTCTATTAACCATTTTTGTTAAGCTTGCTGAGATTGGAAGACATAACGTTTATTATTGTTTGAAATATGGTTCCTTTAGTTGACTTTGAAGGGAGAAGAAATTGATTTCGATGGGAATATCTTTTTGAATGAGGATGCGAAAATAATAATATTAACAAGCTTCAATTTTGCAGAGTTTGGATTGTTGAACAATATATTTTATTAGTACTTGGTGTTGAAAGTGATTACTTTGTAAATTTGATCCCATTTTGCATTAATAGTTGTGGGTTCTGCATCAAGTTTTTTTATGGTTTTTTTTTTTTCATTATTGCGTACTTTTTACATGGTTTCCCATTTGCAATAGTGCTGTTTCCTGAACTTTCTTTTATTGTTGCCATTTTCAGAATTATGCAGGTGACAAGGAAATGCTTGGAAAGTGTGAAAAGGTTCTTTTTCCAGTGCTGAAATCTTGCATGGGGCATTAGCCTATTGTTTGTTGCTAACTTCATATTTGATATCAGTTTTTCCTCGAGTTGATGAAGGTGCCACGAGTAGAAGCCAAATTAAGAGTATTTGCATTTAAAATCACATTTTCAAGTCAGGTATAATTAGGTATTTATTTATTGATTTGACATGCTAATATGATCAATCATAATTGGCAGTATGAATAAAAGTATTTCCCCTAGCACCACCTTTTGTACTATGGTGGATTTCAATGTTGTTTATTGGTTTGCATGATAGAGTAATTCACAGTATGTGGTTGTTATTTTTTTTATTTTATCTTTTCAGGTGGAGGATTTGAGAAGTAACCTGAATACTATCAATGATGCTTCTAGAGAGGTGCTACTGAAGCCAAGAATTCTTGAAACAGCGTATATATCATGCTTTAGCATCTAAGATGTTGTGTGCTTATATCAGGTCAAAGAGTCAGTGAAGTTGCGCCAGATAATGCAGACAATTCTCACTCTGGGAAATGCTCTGAACCAGGGCACCGCTAGAGGTATTTCTTGGTTAAATATTATCATTCTATGAAATTTTTCTGATTTTTTTCCAGCCACATGTAATTTATTTTTAAATATTATTTCTATACTACAGGTTCTGCTGTAGGGTTCAAACTGGATAGTCTTCTTAAATTATCTGATACACGAGCAAAAAACAACAAAATGACTTTAATGCATTATTTGTGCAAGGTAAAAATTCTGGAACATGATTGTTTGAAATGTGGAGGATTGTTTCTGTTTGAGTTATTTTTGCAATTTTGATTGTCAGAGAATACTTGCATCATCGTATATTTCTAGCTCCCTTTCGTTAAATGGGTCTGGATATGGACATTAGTGTGTGAATTGTGAAGAATAGGTTCACTTTTCTGTTTGAGTTATTTTTGCATTTTGATTGCCATTCTCTATTTGCATCATTGCATTAAAGTTTCTCCTCTCTCTCTCTCTCTCTCTCTCTCTCTCCCTCCCTCCCTCCCTTATTTGCACACGCTTTCATCATGCTTTGTTGTGAAGAAATTTTTTCCCTACGGTTAACCGTTTTTAGGTTGCATTTTTACTTGGATTTCTTTTGACCCAGATGGAGAAAATTTTGTCACTTTTTATTATGTTAGAAAGAAAAATACATAGTTAGTTATTGTTGGAAAGTATATATATTTATATATGTAATTATTTTGTGAAAAAACATGCTAGTAAATATGGTTATGTAATTAAGTATTTGAGTAGGATTACATTTTCTTTTTGTTTTGTCCTAAGGTGTATATAGGGATAAATTATCCGATAATAATCACAACATTCCGAAATGGTATCAGTGCTATATAGAAAAACATCCCAACTTTTTTTATCACAAACCTTCAAAACCAGCCTTCATTGTTTTAACTAGAAGAAAAAATCGATAAACATAACCGGCGTTCATAATAAAATTTCTGCAGCTGTCCTACTACTGCTTAGCCGACCTTCATACCTCGAAAACATCCAACCACCACACCTGTTTTTTGCCAGCTTTATTTCAGCCGCTGCTGCTCTGTTTCTGTTCTCTTTTGCTCCAGTCGGTGTTCTGTTTCTGTTCTCTTTTGCCTCTGTTTCTGCTGCGGCTGTTTCTTCGTTTTGCATTTGTTTCCGCTCCAGCCGTTGCTCCCTTTTTCTTCTGTTTCCGCTCCAGGACCGTTGCTCTGTTTGGTCTCTGTTTCAGTGGTAATGTTTAGCACTGTTTTCCTCTGTTTTGTGCTTCTCTGTTCTGCACTGTTCTGCACTGTTCCACGCGGCATGTTCTGCTCTGTTCTGTGCGACCTGTCCTGCTCAGTCTCATGCACACCGCTGTGTCCCCATCAGCCTCTCTGGCAACAGTTTTGTCTTTTAATCATCTAAAGTTTAATACATCGTGCCAAAAGTAATCTCACAATCAATGGAGTCAACTTTGAAGGAATGCAATCATACCACCCAACTGGAGAATTTCTATACATTCAGGCGGCTCAGCTGCTTGCCACAACTCGGGTATTTTTGTTCCAAAACTATGTTCCTAAACAGTACTCGTTAATAGATTACCATCCACGGTTTTGGATTTCCGAAGTCTTATGGAAGTTCTTGCTGAGTTTTACCCCGAGAATTACCATCAACCATCTTGTTCCCATAAATTTTTATTTGTTCGCATACATCAACAACGTATAGTGTAACTGGACCTGACAACTCTCAAATGTGTCTTTGTAGGGTATTTCTCAATACAAAAAGGATATAAATGTTATCATCTACCTACTAAGCAATTCTATGTTTTTACGGATGTTACATTTACAAAGTCTTAGTCAATTTTGATCAACTTTACTTTAGGAGGACAATGTGGTGGAAGATAAGGAAGACCTCTTCTTTCTTGACCTATCCTTACTTTCCCATTACCTATAATTATATCTCTACCCTTTCCTTGAAATTGAAAAAATAAACTCGAAGTACCCTCATCTCAAAACTCAGAAGTTACCATAGCACCAATGACTGCACATAACCCAAGATTTTCTCATATGTACTCAAGGAAGAAGAAACCTGATCCTGAACCAAGTAAATCCAAGTAACAGACTTGAATTCTAGGAATGAGGTAACTTTTGATAACTTTTTGCCATATGTTTTACTGTAGCTATTGCAATTCGGAAAGGAATTATGGAACACAGTAAACACTCACTATTTCCACTCCTACAATTTCGTCATTTGAAATATGTTCACCTGCCTACAAAAGCTTTCTCGTGAGTCTAAGTATTGTGTCTGTTCGTGCTACATTTTTGAAGATGTTATTATGTGAAAAATGGAATGGTATAAATGTGAAAATATAGGCATTAAAAAAGAACAAAGCATGGGAAGCCTAAAGGAAAGAGGATAGTGGGATGCAAGTAGGTGTTCACTGTGCAGTACAAAGTTGATGACACCATTAAAAGGTATGAAGTCAAATTAGTGGCCGAGGGATATATGCAAACCTATGGGTTAGACTACTAAGAAACTTTTGCACCTGTTGCTTACATGAACACAGTTTGAGTACAATTGTAACTAGTGGCTAGTTATGACTGGCAGTTTTAACAGTTCGATGTGAAAAATGTCTCCTTATATGGAGATGCTGAGGAAGAAATGTCATGGAGTTTCCACCAGAATTCACTAAAAATATAGCAACCCCCAAAATATGCAGAATAAAAAAGACATAATGCAGACCTGAACAATCACTAAGAGCTTGGTTTGGAAGATTTGCAAAAGTAATGATGATCATGGGATATAAACAAAATTTATTCACCAACACTTAAAATTCAGTGGGTGTTACAGCCTGTGTTGTGTGGATGGTATCATTGTGACAGGAAATGATGAGAATGGACGACTGACACTTACCCAGTATCTTACAAAGAACTTTAAAATAAATGGACCAGGAAGAATACTTCATATGAATAGAGGTTCCTCACTTGAAACAAGGAATCTTCATCTCGCTACAAAAATGTATTAATATCTCTTGAACGGTACATACAAACTAGCATGCAAACATGCAAATACACAAATAGATCCTAAGCACAAGTGTAATTTAACTGGCAAACCAGTAAATGAATAAAGTTAACAAAGCCAGGTAGGTAAATGCAAGCTTAAACTTGCAGCTTTGTTCTGGTCTCTCATGCTCTCATGCGATCAAATAATTTGATTGTCTCCCATGCTCTTATGAGATCATGAGAGAATCAAGAAAATTCCTACCAGGAAATGATTCTTGGCCAACAAACACCTGTATATCATCGAACTAAAATATGCCAATGATTTTTATGAAGTGATCCACAATATCTCAAAATGCTTGCAACTACCTTTTCGCGACTAGTTAGACGAAAGTCCAAAAATGACGTCAAACACTTATTTCCCATGGATTATCTAGAGGAGTCATAATGAGTAAGTTACTTTTGCAGTTAACCTCTTTTACGCAATGGGGACCTCCAGTAGTTCATTCTCTCTACAAGTAGTTCGAAGTTAGGACTAATAAGAGTATCAAGTACTTGAGTAGATCTCAACATCCCTATCTCATTTAGAAGATCAACTACATACTTTATGTGACAAATAGATACTGAGAAGGTTGAGATTAACACCATATGAAGATCAATCTGTTAGACAGGTCATTTGGGTGAAGATTCAAAAGAACTTCCGTCTGGTAGAAGTGCATCAAGTGAACTGGGAGAAGAAAACGTCCATCATGGCCACCAAGGATGTTATGGGGGTAATCTTCAAGCAAAAAAGGAAGCATTTTAATTTATAAGTACCCCAAACTTGATTTTCCTTGTAAGAAGCATGATAGAGCTGCTAGGGTTTTCAAGACTGGGAAATGACAAACCAGATAGATAACTGTGCTTAGTTTGGACTGCGAAAGCACAAACCATAATCAAGTGGTGATGTAAATTTGGTGCAGACTTCACTATAAGTTTACACTCTAGGAAGAGAAGAAGAATGGGAGGAAATTCAAGGGAGCAAAACAAAACAAAACTTAGATCCCTTAACAGTGGTATGCGTATCTGTGAAATAAGAGAAAATCGGCACTGGCAAGAGCCTTATGATTCCCATCAAGTTGTGAGTTTCAATTCTTTTGAATCTAGTAATTCAAGTCATCTTATGTCATTTGCTTATCAAAAGCAGTTATCATGAGCTGAAAAAGGGAAACGCACAATAATGAATCAATTGCACGAAATCAACACGCTTTGCTTCCAATATTTACTGGCAGCTGATTTCTAGGACGATGCAACTTGGTGGACAGTTTGCCAATAATAACTTTCTGGTTTTCATCAAGTTGGAAAGTATCAGTGACTTGCTCACATTGGCTTTTAGAACTGAATATAATTTATGCTATCAATACCAATTTACTTTTACACTAAGGATCTAGAATGGGAGGAAAAAATATTGATTAAAAAGAGAAGGATTTGCTATTTGCACTTGCTGGCCTTCTACTGGATCGTATAATCTCTATTGCTATTGCTACTGCCACTTTTTGGATGCCCACCTAGTTTGGATGCTTGAGACAATCACCTTTTCGGAGGAGGGTGCATTGTTATGTGCCACTTGGCTATTAGAGTTGTTGATATATAGATGCTAGAACGGGTGACACATGGCTGCTAGACTGGGTGACCCATTGTTGCTAGAAAAAAATTGTTTTTATTTTATTTATCTAGATGTCTAGTTTTACTCAATGATATAAGTAGCTATTGGGATAAATGTGACGGTAGTTTCTTGATATGTGAGATAAGTGTGTTGGTAATTTCTAGGATGCGGGGTTGTTACTTAGGTGGTTTCTAGGATATAAGGATAGTTATTTTCTACTGTGGAAGTTAATATTCTTAGATTTATATTTTCTCATACAAAAATATGATTAAATTTGAATAAGAAATGCACAAAAATTTATCAAAGAAATTTCTTCAGTGCTCTTAAGTTGTAGGAAATTGTTTGGTTCTCTTAATGAGTCCATACTATTAACAAAATCCTGTAACTAAATCCAAAATAAGAACCATAACACTTAATTTGCATATTTTCTGTGTCATTTAAGGTTTATTATTTGTTGGTTTGAGCTTACAGAGTTCCTCATTTTGTTCCAGATTCTTTTTAATTGTTGTACCTATTAATTGGAAGCAGAAGATTTGATCTTAAAACATGCTTACCTTTTCAATGCACCATTCAGATGGCATTTAAATTCTTATCATTATTCATTTCCAATCTTTGAGACATAAGCACTAGTCTTTTCTTCTGGTTTTTTCCCTCTTATATGTGCGTACACATCTGTGCCAGTCATGTAAATATATACCAGTTTTTATACCATAAATACGAGTGTTTTTTTTCTTGTTGGTGTTGGTTAAAAAATCTGTAATATACCTGAATTTATTTTCTTTTCACTTAGCTCCTTGCTGAGAAAATGCCAGAACTGTTGGTCTTTGATAAGGATCTTGCACATTTAGAAGCTGCTTCTAAGGTATGTTTCATATGTTTCTGGTGTTTGTTTCTCTTCTGCTTAGTTGTTAAAACCATCTTAGCTCAAGTGCCTAACTTGTCTATTTTTCCCTTTCTTATGCTCTTCCACGAAATGAATAGATTCAATTGAAAACGTTAGCTGAAGAAATGCAGGCGGTGAGTAAAGGTCTTGAAAAGGTTGAGCAAGAACTAACTACTTCAGAACATGATGGTCCTATATCTGTTGGCTTCCAGAAGGTGAGGCTAGTAAAAACATGTCATGTTACTTAAAAAATATGGATCTACTTGACATCTTCCACTTCCTAAAGAACTTATACATCCAAGTTTAAATTAATTTATACTTGGCATCTCATGGTTAAAATCACTGCATTGTTTTATCCTAACTTTGTATTTCAAAGTCATGACATGTAACAAAAGATTTTTTGGAGATGTCATTTTTATTGGACAGTCTTTATCCCCTTGTCTCCTTAAAATTTTCAAATATGCTCACAATAGATATCTCTGTTATCCCAAAGAAAAACCAATGTAATACTATCTTGAGATATTGTTTGGTACATAGGCGGATCTTATTGATGTTTTGCTAGACTTTTAAATTCTTTTGTACATGGGTTACTCGTCCTTGACACTTCTTGAATATATACTTCTCTTAAAAAAAAAAAGAAGAAAACAAGAATATGGTACATGGGCTTACAAGGTCATCGTAGTCTATCATGGTTATCAGGGCGAAGATCTCGTCGTAGTTTAGATCATACACTTGCTTGTTTCAAAGAACAGCTAACCGAACCTTATAATGGTCTATGGATCCACCAAAATGAAGCTTGGTAGAAAAAAACTTACTGCCAAGAGTTGTCATGGATGGGTTCATGAAACAAAATCCTAGGTCTGGTTTTCTTGATGTGTAAGGAGTTTTATTTCAATAGTTTTTTGTTGACACTCTGTTATATACTCCTTTTGGGTCGTTTTTATTGAGAAAGAGCAAATAAGGAGCTGATATGGTTTAGGTTTATTCTATTTTGGAAATCTATGTCTTAGTTAGGAAAACTTATCTCTTATTTAGAAATTTAATTTTTATTATATAGTTGAGGTTTATCCTATTCTAGAAACATATCTCTTAGTTAGGAAAATTTATCTCTTATTTAGGAATTTAATTTTATTTTTGGAGACTTATCTCCTAATTAGGAATCTCTTTGATTTTTGCTGTGAGAAACCTAAATAATAAAGGTTTCTTATAATGTAATGCATCAGTCGTATGTAAAATGCTCTAAAATTAATAAAGAGATAGCATAAGTATAATTACAATATAGAGATCGGAGCTCTCTCTTACGAGATCCAAGATGCCAAACTCCCTTTGATGAGTTTGAAAACAATTCACAATAGATCGCTTGAGGAATCATAACTAGGGAAAGAAGCAAGACCCGAAATCAGATTATCCGGTGTGAACTGCCCGTTGATAAGATCCAGGTCTCGAGAATATAACACACTAAGTGCTCCATTGCCTGTTTATAAGACGAGGGAATCAGATTAAAAGATAAGGTGGTTGTTAGGGATAAAGGAGGGGTGAAACCAAACCTTGCAAGTGGTTTAGAAACTCAAATGCTGTGTCAGAGAGGTTCAATTGCATGGGCATGATCAATAGCCAGGGAATGATCTTGAATGGGCTCAGGAGGTTTATAAGTCTGATTTAATGTGGTGGAGGTGCATTGCTGATCCGTAGAAAAGGTTTAGACGATGACCCTGTAGAAGTGTTAGTAAACAAGGGCAGAACAGAAATGAAGGAAAAAAAGGTCTTATGAGGGACAAAAAAATCAGTATTTCTAGAAAGATCTCATTTCTATAAACCCGAATAAGACGTAGATTTGAATTATAGCAAATGAAACCTTGTTAGTGTCCAAAATATCCTAGAAAAATACATTTAACTGATTGAG